TTTATTTTTTATTGAGGTCACATCGGTTTATAGTGTTATATAGATTTCAGGTGTATATCATTATATTTCACCTTCTGTATAGACTGCATCGTATTCACCACCAAAAAGTCTAGCTTCCTTCTATCACCATATATATGTGCTCCTTTACCCCTTCTGCCCCCACCTACGCCCTTCCCCTCTGGTAACCACCAATCTGTTCTCCTTATCTACATGCTTGTTTGTTTATTTTCCACATATGAGTGATATCATATGGTATTTGGCTTTCTCCCTCTGACTTATTTTGCTTAGCATAGTACCTTCAAGGTTCATCCACGTTGTCGCAAATGGCAAGATTTCATCTTTTTTATGGCTGAGTAGTATTCCATTTTTTATATATACACTGCATCTTCTTTATCCATTTGTCTGTTGATGGGCACTTAGGTTATTTCCAAGTCTTGGCTATTGTGAATAATGCTGCAATGAACACAGGGGTGCAGATATCTTTTCAAATTAGTGTTTTATGGTGGTTGTATTATTAATTTTTTGAGGAATCTCCATACTGTTTTCCATAGTGGAGGCACCACTTTGCATTCCCACCAGCAGTGTATGAGGGTTGCCTTTTCTCCACATCCTCTCCAACGCTTGTTTTTTGTCTTTTTAGTAATAGCCATTCTGATGGGTATGAAGTGATATCTCATTATGGTTTTGATTTGCATTAATAATTAGTGATGTTGAACATCTTTTCATGTGCCCGTTGGCCATCTGTATATCTTCTTTGGAAAAATATCTGTTCAGATCCTCTTCCATTTTTTAATTGGGTTGTTTGTTTTTTTGTTGTTGAGTTGTATGAGTTCTTTATCTATTTTGGAGACTAGCCCCTTATCAGATACATGATTTGCAAATATCTTCTTCCTTCCCTCCTTCCTTCCCTGTTTCCTTCCTTCCTTCTTTCTTTTCCTTCTTTCCTTCTTTCTTTCTCTTTCTCTCTCAGTCTCTCTCCCTCTCTCTTCCTTCCTTTTTTTTTCTTCTTTTAAAAATAAGATTAGAGAAACTTTAAGAACTAGTGAAAATAATTTTAAGAAATTACTATCACAGAAAATCCCATACCCAGAAACAACCACTGTAAACATCTGGTATATTTCCTTCCAGAGTTTTCCTGTTTACACACAAATACCTTATTTCTTATTTTTTTGTTTTTGTTTTACAAAAAAGAGATCAGACTGTCTGTATGGCTCTGTGAATTGTTTTTTTCAGCCAGCAACAGGTTGTGACTGTCTTTCCAAGTCGTGTCTGATGCAGCCACACCATGGTTTCAGTGGCTGTGTACTGTTCTGTCGTGTGGACAGACCATCATTTGTTTACCCAGTTGATGGACACCCAGGGTGTCTTGTGTTTTTCTTTTGCTGTAATAAGCAACACTGCACAGAACATCTTTGCACAAGCCCATGTACTTCCTCACAATTTCATTAGGTAACTTCCTTTCAGTAGAAGAGCCACAGCCACCAGGTGGATCTCTTTCTGTAATGCACAGCTGTCTCTGTCCTGTTTAAGCCCTGCCCCCAAGGGCTTTCCATTGTGATAAGAATAACATCCCCTCCCCTTACCACGCAAGGCTGCATCTGATGCCACCCCAGCCCAGTTCTCCACCCTCCTGGTGCATGGCTCCTCCTCATTACAATGCTTCACCTCACTGGCCTTCTCTCTGCTCCTTGAACACACCAACATCACTCGCACCTCAGGGCCTTTGCACCTACTGTTACCCAGCCCTGGACCCTCCCAGCTCCTGTGTGTTCCTATGGCTGGGTCCCCCTTGTCATTCAGATCTACACACAGATGCCATCTCCCTGAGGAAGCATTCTCCTACCATTGAGTCTGCAGTCACCCTTCTGCTCCCCAGTCTGATCTGATCTGACCCCATCCCCCCGTGTTGTTTTCCTCCAGGAACTGCTACTCTCTGAAATTATTTCTTACCCATATTTAGCTGTTTATCTCCCACCCCCAGCCTGTAAGCTCTATGAAGGCAAGCACCCCATCAGTTTTGTTAACCCCGGGTCCCCCACACCCAACTGAGTGCCCGGCACATAGTAGGTCCTCAGTAAACACTGGTTGAATGATGGAGAAATGGCTGAATTCAGCAGTTTGTTCAGAACTAGTTGAGGGATTTTTAATGCACTTTATGAAAATTTCCCAGAAATTCTGTGCCAATTTACATTCCCTTCGTATAGGTGCGGGAGTTACAAACTAATCCAAAAAGAGAATCAGAGGGCAAGATTTAGAAAAGGAGGTTATCTTATAATTTATCACATCACGCTTGTTTTTCATCAAACATGCACAACTGTCATCTTACCTAGCAGAGCTGGAGTTTAGTAAATGTTTGAGGTGTGAACAAGTAGGGACTCACCAAAGGCTTTTTGAGCAGCCCAAACCGGGGGGAGATGTCGGTAGATGGGACCGACATCTGGTGTTGTCACATCGACACTCGGCGTCATCAGCGCGCTGTTCGATGTGTTGAGAAATACACACCCAGTTCAGCAGGGCCTGCTCATGCCTCCAAGGTGGATGGGTTGTTTGACAGGGATGCTTGCTAGGTCCAGGCAAGACGTCCCAGAACCTTAGGGTACCTGTCTGGATGACAGCCTGAAGGGCCCCCTTGTCCCTGGGCTGTCTGGGGCCCTGCGAATGGGTGAACCCACTGCCCATCCATAGGATTTCCCGTAGTAAGTCGGAGACACAAACCCTGGTAATTTTCCGCAACGTGGCTTGCCCGCTGTGTGGGATAGCTGAGTGCCTTATGGCTCTGGGTGGTTCTCGCAGAGTACTCATCTGGGCAGAGAATCAGGGAAGTCTTGCAGCCCAGAGGCCCGAGGAGGGACTGGAACTGAGCTTTCCAGAAACCAGCAGGGCAGCCGGGTAACCCAGCCCCTGCGCGGCCACTCTCTCCCACCTCGTGGGCCAGTGGGGAACCGCTGACAGGGAGGCCACCACGGCCGAGCCTCTGCTGTGTCTGGGCTCTGGGCTTCTCCTCACAGCTCCATCTCGCCAAGGGCTCCCATCTGCTACACGCTTCAAAAGGTCAATCCCAGGGTAGCCTAAAGCAGGAAGCTGCCATGGGGAGAGGGGGACACAACCAGGAATCCCGAGCAGCCTGCTCCCCAGGACTGCTGACCTCACCAAGAGTCCAAGAGGGCGGGGGCCGTCTGTCTAGTCTGGTGGTTTCCAATCTGGGCCCCTCTTGTCTGGAGGGGAAAACCATGCTCGTAAATCATGGCTGGGCTGTTAATCTTATGCTCAAACTCATTCATAATGAATGAAATACTACTTAAAACTATATCTAGATGCCATTCTCTGGTTTAGGTTGCCTGAGGACACAAGCTGGGTACCAAGCTGTGCTGGCCAGCGTGTGGGTTAGAGGGCTGCCTCGTGCATTGTTGGTGGGCGTTGTCACTTGGCATAACCTTATGGAGGGCAATTTGGCAAGCCATCCAAGTTCCAAAGGTGCATTCCTTTGATCCAGCAGTTCCCCTCCGAGGAGCTTATCCACAGGTGCTCTCATACGTACGCGGACAGTCCCATGGACAAGGTTGTTCTCTGTAGCATTGTTTGCAAAAGCAAAAGATTAGAAACAACTAAATATTCATTCATAGGGACCCAGTTAACTGTATTATATACTTAATTATGATGGAATACTATGCAGTTGAGTAAATGAATGAGGAAGCTCTTTGCGTACAGAAAGCCACTACGCTGGCTGTCAGACAGGCAATAACAAGTGTTGACAAGGATGTGGGGAAACTAGAAGTCCCTCGTGCACTGCTGGGAGGGATGGGAAATGATGCATCTGCTTTGGAAAACAGTTTGGCAGTTTTTAAAAGGTTGAACCTATGGTTAATGTACAATCCAGCAATTCTGCTCCTAGGTATATACCTAAAATAATTGAAAATGTATGTCCACGCAAAACTTGTGTACAAATGTTCATAGAATGTTATTTATAATAGCCCAGAAGTGGGAAGAATCTAAATGTCCATCAACTGAGGAATAGACAACTAAATGTGGTCTATCCGTGTCATGGAGTATTATTTGGCAATAAAAAGGAATGAAGCACTGATTCATGCTACAACATGAGTGAACCTCAAAAACATTATGCTAAGTGACAGAAGCCAGTCACAAAAGGCCACATATTGTATGATTCCATTCACATGAAATGTCCAGAATAGGCGATCTGTAGAGGCAGAAGTTGCCAGGGCCTGGGGGGAGGGAGAATTGATTGTAAATTGGCACAGAAGATCTTTTTGAGGTGTTTGTAACAATCTAAAACTGGATGGTGGAGATGATTGCACAACTCCCTAAAATTACTAAAAATCATTAAATTGTACACTTAAAAAGGGTGAATTTTGTGGCATGTTATACCTCAATAAAGCTGTTTTTTTAAAAAGCCTTCAGTTAGCTGAAGGATTTAACTCCTCATGAGAGAGTAGCTTTATTGGCTGTGTGGCCTCAGGTAAGTCACTTAATTTCTCGTTTCCTTGCCTGCAAAATAGGGATATGAGCTGCACCTACCTCAGGAAGAAAGTAAAAAGGTATACAAAGTGCTTTGCACACAATCTGAGCCCAGCCGGTGTGCCCCGTCTTAATAACGGCAGCACAGGCATGGTCACAATGCCATCCTGTTAATCTGCCGACCAGACGGCCAATATTTGGGCTGACAGGTAGGAGCAAAAACCGGGCAGCCGTCTTGGAGGGTGAGTTCAGTTCAGACCGACTGGGGCCAGCAAAACCCGGAGTTCAAAGAAAATAACTTAACAACCCTGACCTAGATTCAGACCTAGGCCCGTTTGCAAAGAGAATGGAATTTGCCGGCTGCTCCTGGCTGCGGCCGGCTTCGTTTCCAGCTGCTGCGGGAAGTGTCCCTTGGCCGGCGTTCTTCCACCGCGGGGACGTGGAGGGCGCCCCTCCCCTCCCTGCGCGAGCCCCTGTAGACGGCCCTCCAGATCTTTCGGTAATGTGCCTTCTTCCTCCTTTTTCAGCTTGAGGACCCCTCGAGATGGGAAGGCCTTCCGGATCTTCGCTGTCAGGCCGTGAAACTCCGGTGCCGGGGAGAAGGGGGCATCTTCAGGAGGGCTTTGGGGGTGTGCTTTTTATTTTTATTTTGTCATTTTGGGGGTGGGCTGGGGATAAGGAGAGTCAGGAAACTTCCTTGAGTGGCATTCAGTGTCACATCCTTCGTGCCTTTGTCTCATCTCCACGCCGTGGAGAAACAGCATCCTTGGGTCCTGACCAGACAACTGGTGGGCAGTCCTGTCTACACCTGGGGGTCTCCACCTGGGTGCCCTCTCTGCACAGTCACCCCAGATGTTCCTTCCTTCGTGTTCTCTTGTGGGTTTCCAAACCCGCCAAGAGCACAGAGGATTTGGAGCTTAGACGGCAAGGCATTCAGGGGCGTGGGAAGAGGCATATTGAGCGCGCTCAGGGTGAGTTTCAGGAATGGAGTAGAAGGTAGTTATTTAAAAAATTGAAAAACGCAGTCCGTCCCTACCAATGGAGAAAAATGGGTTTAATGTTTGCTGGTCAGACAAACGGGCCGGAACAAGGGGCCGGGGGAGGGGAGACTCAGGCTCTGCCCTGGCACCTGTCCTCTCGAGCATCCTGCCATGTGCAGGCTGGTTCTATATACAGCAGTGCTGGTTTATTTAGAGTTCAGCAGTAACTCCAGAGATTTATCTTGTCTTTGTTCTTCCTTCATCCACGTGGCCCGTCTGTTTGCTGCCATGACCTTTGGTCTCGATGGGGACTAATGAACCAGGATCCTTTCTTTACCCCCTACCCATTGTGGCTCACGCCCCAGCCCGGACAAGTTTATGTGTCATATTTCACACCAGGGTCTTTGCTTTGCAAGCAATTCTGTTTGAAACCCACTTTTTTTTTTTTTAAACTCCTAGTCTCTGTTGGTTCCATTGAGGTGTCTAAAAACAGCCAAAGAAGGGCTATTTTGTTGCTGCTTTTAAAAAACGAAATTAAATGTGCAGATTCCCCATCCGTCAGATGACCTATTTTTTAGCAGTGGGAGGAATGGATTCCTTAGTACATTCCTCACTGAGGTTAACAGCTCTGGGAAGAGGAACCGTTTGTGGTTATGAAACCGTCCTGCGGCGTAATGACAACAGGAGATGGGAACACTCTAGAAGGATTTCTCGTCCTGTTTTTGTGGAACAACTCTTGCCAAATGTTCCTGAGGCTCCGAGGAGTGCGGTGCTCTCTGGCTTCCATCACTTTATAAGAGTTCTTCGTAAGCCCAGACCAAAAACCCACAGTGAAATAAAATACCCGTTTGTAAATAGCATTTCTCTGCAGAAGGTAAAATTCCACCCTCCACCACCAAGCTGGCCAATATATCACTTTTGTGAGTGCCGGTTTCAAATTTGATTTCACTCTCCATCAAAATGTTTCAAAAGCAAAGGAACTAGCAGAAAGTAAAAAAAAAAAAAAAAAACTAAACTAGTCTAGACAAGGAAATCTATCTGGGAACTAGGGGGGTGCATCGTTGAGTGCATCTCTAATTAATGCAGAAACTGAAGGTAAATAGCCCCACCCCCCTTGAGGGTGTCTGTAAAAGTAATGAAACTCTTAGCTTGACAGAGCTGAAGTTAGCAAGGCTGAGTTTTTTCTTGTGTATTGTGGACTCGTAGTAATTCATAGCTTCTGACAATTCAACCCCAAATGTCAGAGCAAAAGAATTTGGTCAGCCAGTCAGATATTGTGTCTAGTTACAGCCAAAGATCTGAGTACTTGGAAACTTCTGGATTCCAGGTGTTTGTGCTGCTGGACTTCTTCTCCATTGGACCTGTGCTTTGTCACCAGCCTTCTGTGGCTGTGGCTATGTCGAGACTGCGAGTTTGGGTTTTTAGAATTAGTGACAGTCCAGGGGTATTTCAGTGGGTTTGCTCTTGAAGCGTCCTACCCAAGCGAGAATCTGAAACTTCCAGGGCGAGTTGACCCCATCATTTTAAAATAAAGTTCCCGGCTTCCTGAACGCCTCCTTAGCCGGCCGGTCTAACGGGATGGAGAGCACTCGCCCAGAGCCAGATCTTGCTGTCTTTTTCGTCCTCGCGAACATTTTGAAACTGGAACCATTTTTCTTCTGAAAATGGAAACAAAGCTACAAAGTATAAGCCCCTGTAATCAGGGACGGCCTCTGATTTTGTGTGTTTAACAGGCCCATTGCACCATCGGCACTTACCCCATAAAAAGACCATAAATCAGGCCAACAGTGTTTCTGGGTCTCCTGCCCCTAAAATGAAAAGTTTCAGTTTCCTTCAGACTTTTGCCCCCGTGTTCTGACTTTTCGTGTTGTCTGTAGGCTTCCTCAGCCCGCAGCTTACGTGTGTGCTTTTTTCTATGAAAAATGATGTATTTTACTACTTCCTGTGTACAAAAGTTTATTGTAAATTTTTTTTGTGTGCTTTGCATGAACAGGGACCACGTTGCTGTTGTTTCAATAAAACTGGTTTGATTTCTAAGACGTTTCTGTGACGTATCTTTTATGGACAAATCTGAACAGTTTGTGAAATAAAATGTTTAAAACCTCCTCACAGGCTCAGAGCTATTTTGTTTACGCCAGTCTACCAGTAACGTCACACGTAGGCGTGGAGATGCTAATTACTGCCGCATTTCCGGAGCCTGGCGGAGACCTCCGCCTGATAAGCAGACAGAGATGTCAAGCAGACAGAGATGTCACTTGAAGTCTGGGAATCGTGTGGGGCGGGGGGGCTTGTCACAATGCAGTCAGGTCCAGCAGGTCTGGGGTGGGGCCTGAGAGTCTGTGTTTCCTCGGGAGCTCGCAGAGTGCCCCAGGTGGCCCCCAGATCGCACACCGAGTGGTAACAGGCTCAGCCTCATCTGTCCCTGTCTTAGCTCGGGCTGCCGTAGCAAAATACCACAGCCTGGGCGGCTTACACAGCAGATATTTATTTTCTCCCGGTTCTGGAGGCTGGCAGTCCAAGATCAAGGTGCCGGCAGGGCTGGTTTCTCCTGAGGCCTCTGTCCTTCGGTTGCAGACGGCCACCTTCTCGCTGTGGCCTTTTCTCTGTGCATGCATCCCTGGTGTCTCTTCCTCTTCCTATAAGGACACTAGTCCTGTTGGATCAGGGCCCACCCTTATGACCTCATTTAACCTTAATTAACTCCTTAGAGGCCCCATCTGAAAATACAGTCACATTGGGGGTTAGGGCTTCAAGATAGGAATTTAGGGATGCGGGGGACACAATTCAGTCCGTAAGAGTCAACTTATTCCCAGATGTCAGCCCCTTTTTGTCTGATTGCTGTCATGGGTCCCCATGTGTTCCGCTGCACCGTACCCCACGAAGGATTTCGGGGGCACTTGGCTGATCTGTTTCATCTCACTGTCAATGCTTCTGCCTTTGCTTTCACGGTCTCTCTATTTATGACAAATGCTCTTGTCCATTGAAGATTGGGATAGCTTTCCTCTTTAATAAATATATTTAAGCCTTTTTAAGTGATTTAAAAATATTATGGGGGCCGGGCTGGTGGTGTAGTGGCTAAGTTCATGTGCTCCACTTCAGCGGCCCAGGTTCACGAGTTCGGATCACAGGTGCACACCAATGCACCGCTTATCAACCCATGCTGTGGCAGCGTCCCATATAAAGTGGAGGAAGATGGGCACGGATGTTAGCCCAGGGCTGTCTTCCTCAGCAAAAAGAAGAGGATTGGCATCGGATATTAGCTCAGGGCTAATCTTCCTCACACACACATACAAAAAATGTAAACAGTTGTGCAGGTATATTGCACAAATCACAGAGATTGGATAATAATGACTGATGTTTGGGAAACGCTGGTTTCTGACAAATGCACTTTCAAGTCCACAGAAATGCCCCCCCATATAGCTCCCCGGGGTGTTGGGGTGCCTCCCTTCCTGGCCCTCCTCCACCAGACTCTGCAGGCTTCCTCGGCCTGCCTTTTCCTCCTGCGTCAGGCAGTTCTGCTATCCCAGGACGCCACAATCCCGTGCCCCAACTCTTGGTCCGCAAACCTCCCACAGGTAAAAGCTGTAGTGGCAGCTGGGGGAGGCGGTGCCGACGTGGAGGGGAGCAGGCGCAGCCTCCTTGCAGAGCTCGTCTGAGACAAAGACCTGCGAGGGTGGTGGGGCTTCAGGCTGTGGGGCTTTAAGCCCACGCCATGTTGCTTGGGGACCCACTGACAGAGGCTGCTCCCGCACCAGGTGACCCAGGGACCTAGAGCAGGACCCGGGAGTCCTCCACCAGCTGTGGGGCCTCAGACAAGTCATGTCGCCTCTGTGGGCCTCAGGCTGCTCATCTGTAAAATGGAAACTTCTCACAGCCGCCTCACAGCAGAGTAAAGAAGAAATCAGTGAGCTGTAGATGAAATGTGCTCAAATAATGGTGACCATTGGCAGCGGTGGGAATGCTTTTGGCTGCTATTCTGAGATAACAGAAATCTCATCTAATGGCCCTGGGACTTGTTAGAAATGCAGATTCTTGGGCCCCAGCCCAGACCCACTGAGTCAGACCCTCTGGGGGTGGACGCAGCACCCGTGTGTTACGTGATTCAGGTAATTCTCCGGGTGATTCTGGGGCTTGCTCCAGCTGGAGAGTCATCACTCCAAAGACATTCAATGTCTCACATAAGGAGGGAGATGGTGCCGGGGGCCGCAGCTCAGTGACGTCAGGACGCCTGGTCATCACCTCTGCAAACCTCTCGCCCCTCCTCTGCGGTCGGGACGGCCACGACGCCACAGCCTGTCCCCACACGCTGAGTTTGAGACAGGAAGATGGGGTGGCAGTGGAAGGACCTTCTTCCCACTGTGTTCTCTCTCTCCTTGGGGAGGAAAATCTTTCCTGGTGTCACCCAGTGGGTCTGTTTTTAAGTCCCTTTCATCATACACGGCCACAGGCCCACCCCCAGATCTACCCCAAGCAATTGTCGAAAGAACAGGAAGGTTTCAAGTGAGCAAGGAGGACCAGGGCCAGGAGAGCTGTCTTTACATATATGAAGATCTGCTTTTGTAGGAGGCGGTGTGGTGGAAGAATTAAGAGCTGGGACGCAGACGTGCCTGAGTTTGAATCCCAGCTCAGCTCTTTACCACCTGTGTGATGCTGGGCGAGATACTGAACCTCTCTGAGCATCAGGGGCCTCCTCCCTTGAAGCGTGATAATAACAGTGTCTACGCCACGGGGTGGTTGTACAGATTAAGTGAGACCAAACTTGAGACGTGCCCAGCACTTGGTACGCACACGCGGCACCACATATGGTGACTCCATTGCTTTGCAGTCTGCAACCAACACCAG